CTTTTTACATGTTCTATGTATGATTTTTTTTTTGGGGGGGTACCAGTCCTGGTGCTTGAACTCAGAGCTTGGGCAATGACTCTCAGCTTTTAGTGCTCTACCACTTGAGCCACAGCTCTACTTCTAGATTTTTTTCTGTGATTCATTGGAGATAGAGTCTCATGGACTTTTCTGCCCAGGTAGGCTTCAGACCACAGCCCTCAGATCTCAGCCTCCTGAGTAGCTAGGATTATAGGTGTGAGCACCACCAGCACCAGGTTGGATGACTTTTCTAATCTGACCTGCAGCTCTGAGAGGGTAGTTCCTTGTGCAAAACTGCTGATGCTTCTCATTGTATGTCTTTGCTGTAATTGTTGGGGATTTTACCATTGACCAGGTTGGCCTTGAATTCCTGGGAGTAAGCCATCCTCCTGCCTGAGAAGGCAGGATTACAGGTACGCATTGCTATGCCCAGCTATTGTCTTTTTAATTTTATCATCTGGATCCCCAGTTTTAAAATCATAAACCCTTGCTGGGACACCAGTGGCTCATGCCTGTAATCTTAGCTACTCAGGAGGGGAGTGTGAAGGCTGAGGAAGAGATCATGGTTCAAAGCCAGCCTGGGCAGAAAAGTCAGTCATATTTCCAATTAACCATAAAAAAAATCAATGAAAACCAGGAGTAGAGCTGTGGTTCAAGTGGTAGAACACCAGCCTTGAGCAAAAAAGCTCAGGGCAATGTCTAGGCCTGAATTCAAGCCATAATATTGGCACTAAAAAAAAAACATGAACTCAGAGCTGGCAAGGTAGCTCAGTGGTAGAGTGCTTGCCTTGCATGCATAAGGCCCTGGGTTCGATTCCTCAGCACCACATAAGCAGAAAATGCAGGAAGTGGTGCTGTGGCTCAAGTGGTAGGGTACTCTCCTTGAGCTGAAGAGCTGAGGGACAGCTGCCCAAGCCCAGAGTTCAGGCCCCATGACAAAAAAAAAAATCCTAAACTCAAAGCTGGGCTCATGCCTGTAAATCTAGTTACTTAGGAGGCTGAGATCTGAGGATTGCAGTTCAAAGCCAGCCCAGGCAGGAAAGTCTGTGAGACTCTTATCTCCAAATAACCAACAGAAAACTGGAAGTGGCGCTGTGGCTCAGATGGTAGAGGGCTAGCCTTGAGCTGAAGAGTTCAGGGAAGTGGTCAGTATAAGCCCCATGACTGGCAAAAAAACAAAACAAACAAACAAAAACCCCAAAAAAACTCAGCAAAGGCAGGAAACAGTTGCATTTCTAGTGTCTAACCTATGTCCTCAGGAGGGTATTCAATTATATTTGTTTCCCTGTGTATAAGAATCAGGACAATATGGTTTTCTTTTAATTAAATAAAATTATAATATAATTATAATTCTCCCTTTTAATTTGTCCAACTCAGTGCCTGCCCCCTCCCCCCCCCCCCCAGTCCTGGGGCTTGAACTCAGGGCCTGGGTGCTGTCCCTGAGCCTCTTTGTGATCAAGACTAGTACTCTACCACTTGAACCATAGCACCACTTCTGGCTTTGAGTAATTTATTCACTGTAAGAGTCTCATAGGGACTTTTCTGCCTGGCCTGCTCTGAACTGGGATCCTCAGATCTCAGCTAGGATTACAGGTATGAGCCACTGGTGCCAGGCTCAGTGGCTTTATAATGTGTTCATACAGTTTTTAAATCATCAACTCTAATTGCAGAATGTTTTCATTGCTTCAAAGAAAAACAATGCATTTCCAGCCTCTGTCTTTCTGCTCATCACCAATCTGCTTGGTTTCCAGATAGACAGCCCTACTTATGACTTCCATATCTATGGAGTTGTACTTACTTTTTATGGTTGAGTGATATTTCACTTTGTACATGTACCACAATGCTTTGAAGGTGAACTGACCTGTTTTCTAAATGTTAGCAACTAAAACAGGAGCCTGTAGGGACAAGCTCCTATATTAATGCACTTTCAAAACATCCTTCCCCCATCTCTGTCTCTGTCATTCTCTTACTCTGTGGCAGTATTGGGGTTTGAATTCAGGGCTTCTTGTGTGCTTGGCTTGCTTGCCTGGCTGGTGCTCCACTTCTTGAACAACTACTCCAGCTCTGCTTTTTTAAAATTTACCAGTCCTGGGGCTTGAACTCAGGGCCTGGACACTGTCCCTGAGCTTCTTTTGCTCAAGGCTAGTGCTCTACCACGTGAGGGCTGTGAATAGACCAATTTCTGATTTCAGAATCTCAAGTGGGGAAAGGGGAAGAGAGAGAGAAGAAGGAGGGGGAGGAAGATGAAAGGGAGAGAAAAGGGGAGATTAGTTTAGGGATCCTTATCATCTCAGGAGCTGAGGAAATAAGCTTGGTGGGTCACAACTAGATAGCTACAGGACTTCTGCAGGTGAGATCTAAACATAGCATTTCTGGCTTTTTCTATTTATGTAGTCCTAAGGAATCACACACAGGACTTCGTGCATGCTAGGCAAGCATTCTACCAATAAGCCACATTCCCCCACACTGCTCTTTTTTTTTTTTTTTGCTGGTTAATTAGAGCTGGCATCTCATGGGCTTTTCTGCTGGGGTTGGCTTTGCACTGTGATCCTCTGGATCTGGACCCTTCTGAGTAGCTCAGATTAACAAGTGTGAGCCACCAGCACTCAGCTTTCCTTTGGCAACCTCTTTGGGCAAAGAAACTAAGCATGTCTGGAGCTTTTGGGGGGGGGAGGGAGAGGAGGGAGGGGGTCCGGTCGTGGGGCCTGAACTCTGAGCCTGGGCGCTGTCCCTCAGCTCTTCAGCTCAAGGCTAGCGCTCTACCACTTGAGCCACAGCACCACTTCAGTTTTCTGGTGGTTTATTGGAGATAAGAGTCTCATGGACTTTCCTGCCTGGGCTGGCTTTGAACCAAGATCCTCAGATCTCAGCCTCCTGAGTAGCTACGATTATAGGTGTGAGCCACTGGTGCCTGACTGGAGCATTTTTTTGTTGTTGTGGTTCATCTTTAAAAAAAAAACAATACCACATTTTATCCGCACAAATTCATTGGGTTTCATCATATATGCATATGCATCATATTCATATAATGCATTTTGATGATGGTAATACTTCACCACTGAACCCCCTTTTCTAGATGAGATTGAACATCCTTCTTAACTATGACCCCTATTCACAGCCCATCGTGCAGAATGCTTGCAAGTAAATGCTTGCAAGTCTTTTGAAGTGCTATGTTCAGAACTCACCTGCAGAGATCCTGGGGTGATCTCCTTCAGCCCCCTAGATGATTAGGGTCCCTAAACTAATCTCCCCCTTTCCTTCCCTTTCATCTCCCTCCCCCTCCTTCTTCTCTCTCCCTTCCCCTTTCCCCACTTGAGTTCCAGAAAGCAGAAATCAGTCCATTCGCAGCTCTGCCTGCACTCCTGATTGCTTTCAGCAGGTGTGTGGCCCGAGGCTGGAGAGTCTTCCCACACATTTTCCTCCTCTCCTCCCTCCTCTCCCCTCCCTCCCCCCTCTCCCTCCTCTTCTCCCTTCTCTTTCTCCTCGTTTGTGTCATGGAGTTTGAACTCAGGGCCTGAAGACTGCCTCTGAGCTTTTTTCTGTTCAAGGCTAACAGTCAACCAATCTGAGCCACAGCACCACTTCTGGTTTTCAAAGCCGGGCTGATTTGAACCGCTGATCCTCAGATCTCAGCCTCCTGAGAGTAGCTACCATGAGCCACCTGCGCCTGGCCCACTTCTGGTTTTCTGGAGAGCAGAGTGTCATGGATTTTTCTTACTGGCTTGGAACCTTGATCTTCAGACCTCAGCTCGCATTTCAGGCTAGCCGCCTGCTCCAGGCTTTTGCTCCCTCCCTTTTCTCCCTTCTCTCCTCCCTCCTCACCTCCCTCCCTCCTCTCCCCACTCTCTTTTCTTTCCTCCTCCCTCCTCCCTCCTCCCTCCCCTCTGGTACTCAAAGCACCTTGCTCCTAGCAGGGAAAAAAAGTTTCCCTTTGTTTTTCTAAAGGAAATCAGGTAAAGGGGGAAGGACATTGACATTTTTTGATTTTCCTTACAATCCAGACATAGGAAAGAAAAAGGATTTCCTTTGGGTGCTTGCCACCACTCTGATCTATGCTGATAAAATATTTCCTTTTTTTTTTAACCTTCTAGGAAAATCATGGGACTTCAGCTTCGAAGCTAGATTTCCCCCCCACCCCACCCCCAAAAGCTGGCCTCTACCACTGGAGCCACATGTCTACTTCTGGCTTTTTCTTTGTGGTGGTCATTGGAGATAAAAGTCTCTTGGACTTTCCTTGCCCGGGCTGACTTCGAACCCCGATCCCTGTGATCTCAGTCTCCTGAGTAGGGAGGATGAATGACAGGCGTGAGTCACCAGCACTCCGCTTGGATCTATTCGTTTCCACCAACGAAGTGGTGGATGGAGGTGACCCGGCCTCACCTGTGAGTCTTGGGGCGCCCGGCTCAGGTCCGGCCTCCGGAGCAGCCGGTGGGCGAGGCCGGCAGGCCGGACTACAGGATCCAGAGGCCTTTGGAAACTCCCCCCCGCAGCCGTCTGGTTGGCCAGCCGCGGTTTCCCCCAGGAGTGACGCTGCGAACACAGATCCTGATTGGCCAGGCCGGAGCTGAATTCTCCATTTATGGACAGATTGCCCGGCCCGAGCGCAGGCTGAGCCTGAGCGGACTTCACCGAGTTAACTTCAGTAGCTTGAGCAAAAGCGTTTAGAAGCGAGGGCTCGGGGCCGATCCCGAGCACCTGGGGAACGGGGCGCTTCTAGGCGATCCCTCGATCCTGCGATCCTAGCAGATTCCCGGGCGGTCCCCGGTTCCCCCCGCGCGCGCGCGCGCACCGAGCGCGCTCTGCTCCGCCGGCCGCAGCGCCCCGGGCTTCGCCCTCACCTAGCGCGCGGGGCGGCGGCGGATCCCGCCTGGATGGAGTCACCCCTGGGCTCCCATTGGCTCCTGTGAGCGCTTGGCTGTCCGGAGCCCGGTGCGAGTGGTTGTTTTTTCTTGGGGGGGGGTGCATTGGATTTTTTTTTTGTTTTTAATTTTTTGACCCTGGGAACCAACTTTGGAAGTTCACCCCGGAGTCTGCGTTCCAGTCCCAGCTCCCAGCCAGCCGGGCCCGGTCCCTCGAGTCACCATGGTGAGTTGGCCGCGCCGCCGCCGCGTCCCGGGACGCCTGATCCCAGCCGGGGAACGAGAATCGGGAAAGGGAGTGTGTGTGAGTGTGGGGGGGACAGGAAACCCCAGTGTTGGTGGGGCGGGGGGCACCCACCTTGGGCACGCTGCCCAGGCCAGGGGTGGAGAACGGTGGACGCGGGCGTCTGCACGTCTTTGGGCTCTGATTGCCTGCTGCTTGTCTTCAATGAGGGGGTGTGGGGGGGGAGGAAGGCAGCTTTGGGGGAGTTGGGGGGGTGCATGTGTGTGTGTGTGGCGAGGAGGGGAAGAGGGGAAGGATAGGGAGGAGGCAAGGAAAACTTTTTCAAGTCGCTTAACTTTTTGTGGCCGGGTTGCTATGGCTGCCAGCCGCGGGGAGCCCCAGTGTGGGCACATGTGTTTGCAGAGGAGGGGGTACAGCCCTGCCAGGGGGAACCTTTACTCCTGCTGGGAAGTTTGAGGGGGGTGGGGAGCCGCTGTGTGGTGCCACTTCCCCCCCCTTTAGCCCCCGGCTGCCCCCCCCCACACCCGGGCTGGGAAGGCCCAGCCTGGTCAGGCTGCCCCCCCCCCCACACTCCTAGCGCTTGGCATGGCCTCCCTGCCCTGTCCGGGGTCGGAGGCCGGGCAGAAGCCTCAGCTGCTCCTCCTGGTATCGCCCTGCCTCGGAGCCATGCGCAGCCGCACAAAGGCCAGGCAGGGAGGCAGGTAGGGCGAGGAGGACCTGGTGGCGGGCAGTGAGCAAGTGACCTGGGTGCAGCCTGGAACCGCCCCGGCCTGGCGAGGTGATTGCCACCACTGTGGATTGTATGCAAGAAGGACTCAAGATGTTGTTGTTGCTGGGATGGGTGTTGTGTGTGTGTGTGTGCCAATCCTGGAACATGAACTCAGGACCAGCGAGCTGTCCCTGAGTATTCTTTCTCTCCCCTTCTCCCTCCTCTCTTTCTCTCTCTCTCCTTCTCCAACCCCCCCCCCCCCGTTAGCTCTCTACCTCTTGAGCTCCAGCTTCACTTCTGGCTTTTTGAGGGTTCATTGGAGATAACTCTGGTAGACTTTCCTGTCTAGTCCAGCTTTGAACGTTGATCCTCAGATCTCAGCCCCCACGGGCCCGTTGCTCTTTTAACTCTGGCACTTTGGGAATCTATGGAGCTGGCCGCCTGCCTCCTCAATAACCTTCCTTCCATCCCTTGGGCTTTGGTGCCGCGGTGTAGCTTTCCTTCTGAAAGTAAGGATGCTATTTTTGCGAGAGTTGCAGTCTCGCAGAAAGAAAAAAGTTCTACAAGATTTTGTACTTTGCACACTTCCTTCCTTAAAAAGGAATCCTGATTATTATGAGGATGATGATTATGATTATTATATGATGGGGCATCCTCTGATTCCTTGTGGTTTAATGGTTTTAAGGGGGAAACTAAGTCACAGTGACACTTCCCTCCCTCGTCCCCCCCTCCCCCAGCAATTACATAAAAAAATTCTCCAGCCTCACCTGCTGGAAAGATCCACAGAGTTCCATGCAGCCCCTGACCTCCCTTCTGTTAATTCAAAAGAGTGATTAAAAAAATCCAGGGCTGGGAAGGTGGCTCAGTGGTAGAGTGCTTGCCTTGCATGCATGAGGTCCTGGATTCGAGTCCTCAGCACCACATAAACAGAAAAAGCTTGGAGGTGGGGGGGGGGAGATGGGTAGGGATGGGAAGGGGAAACAAAGGAGGAGGCAACAATGCTTGATAAGAAATGTACTCATTACCTTGCCCATGTAATTGTAATGCCTCTGTACGGTATTTTCACAATTGAAAAAAGAAAAAGAAAAAGCTGGAAGTGGCACTGTGGCTCAAGTGGTAGAGCGCTAGCCTTGAGCTGAAGAGCTGAGGGACAGTGCCCAGGCCCAGAGTTCAAGCTCAAAGACCGAGAAAAAAAAATCCTTTGTACTAGTACTTAAAGATGAGATAAAATGTATATATCAAGCTTCAACAACAACAAAATCTTTAAATGGTATCTTTGACTGAAGCTTTTACATATTTTACACAGTCCAAACGTGTCACCTTTGCCCCTAAGAGAATACTTCAACTATAAATAAACTTCCACCTCCGGTGGTTAAAAAGTCAGACTGCCATCTAGTATTTTTGGAATCCCTACCAAAAAGAAGAAAATCATTTATACCAAGCATGCATTTGGGTGGAACTTACTAAATTGGGCATCTGACCACTTAAACTTGAGCAATGTGATTCGTGATGCTCCTGGCACTTTAGAAGGGCTGTAATTATTTTCCATAGCTCGATATTTCTAAAATAAATAAATAAAAATCAATGTGCTTATGTGAAGAGTTTAAAGAATCTTACAGAATTTATTACTTAGATAATAACCATGACAAGACCCAATTTCTCTCATTGAAGTCTTTTTTCAGGACAGACAAAGTGTTCCTACATTTTCCCCTCCCTTTTATTTTTTTTTTGTTGGTTGTGAGGCTTGAACTCTGGGCCTTGGCACTGTCCCTCAGCTCCTCAGCTCAAGGCTAGTGCTCTACCACTTGAGCCACAGCTCAGGTTTTCTGGTGGTTAATTGGAGATAAGAGTCTCCCGGACTTTCCTGCCCGGGCTGGCTTTGAACTGAGATCCTTAGATCTCAGCCTCCTGATTACCTAGGATTACAGGCATGAGTCACCAGTGCCTGGCTTCTTACTTTTGTTTTTGATGCAGGTTCTGGGCCTTGAACTCAGGGCCTGGGCTCTGACTCTGAGCTTTTTTTTTTTAAACTCCAGGCTAGGGTTTTACCACGTAAACCATGGCTCCACTTTCAGCTTTTGGATATTTAATTAAAGATAAGTTTCTCTTAGACTTTCCTGCCAGGCTGGCTTTGAATAGATCTTCAGATCTCAGCCTCCAGAGTAGCTAGGATTAAAAGAGTCCTCCACCAGTACCGCGCCTCCCCCCTCCCTCCCTCCTTTTTTAAATAGAGATCTGGGAATACCTTGGTTTAGTTTGGTTGATTGCTGTTGAAGTAGAGTGATGATTGGTAAAGTGTGTGTAAAGGAAGCATTGTGGGAAGATGGCCGGGCAGGGTGTGACTTACCTGTGGCTGGGCTCCCAGCCATCAGTGCAGATGGGCATGTGTGTGGCCTCCCGGGAGACTGTGTATCGGATATACTTTCTGAAGCCACTATTCACTGGTGGGGAAAAAAAAATGGAAACAGCTAGGGGGCCTGAAATGGGAGAAGTACCATTGGTGAGTCTCCTGGATAGCCACAGAGTCATTTGGCCCAAGTGAAATGAATCATTTTGTCCCTGATTTGGAGGAAGAAAAAAAAAGCTTAAGACTGTTCATTAGAATCATGTGACATTGCCTTAAAAGACAGTATCATCAATGATTAGCAATCCCTGTTAGAATATGATGTTTCTTTAAGATGAAGTCAAGCCACAGGTAGCTTCATTTGTTTTTCTAGTGGTTGTCTGGGCCTGCCTCGCTGGTGAATGTCCTCAGCTGCCTAACTTAGAACCGGAAGGGAAGGGAAGGGACATTAGGTCAGTGGGTGTGGCCAGAAATTAGCGTGGAGAACAAACAGGCCCTTAGAGGAGCACCTGTATTGCGTTGTCATCTCTCTCCTGCTCACTCCTCTCTCTCCCCCCCCCTCACACACACACATTCACACACACACACACACACATTTTAGGAAGCTTAGTAGCCTATTAGAAAGCTTCTCCACCTGCGCCCAAGGCTCTGCCGAAAGTCGTTCTGTGGTGACTCATACGGAAGAAGACATTCTGATTCATGAACACCAGGCCCAGTTCCCAGTTCTTTCCTTATCTCTTGGAAAACTCACTGTGGGTCCTGGCTACCTTGGTCAACCCAAGAACACTGCCAGACAGTAGTTACTGGCATCATTTTCTTCATTTCTTTCTCTTTATTTGGTGCCAGTCCTGGGGCTTGAATGGAGGGCTAGATGCTGTCCCTTGGAGCTTTTTTTTTTTTTTTGCTAGTGCTCTACCATTTGAACCACAGCACCACTTCTGACTTTTTCGTAGTTTATTAGAGGTGTCTCTTCCTGACTTTCCTGACTGGCTGGCTTCAAACTGCCATCCTCAGATCTTAGCCTCCTGAGTAGCTTGGATTACAAGTGTGAGCCATCAGTGCCCAGATGATTGTGGCTTTTTTTTTTTTTTGCCAGTCATGGGCTTGAACTCTGGGCCTGGGAGCTCTTCAGCTCAAGGCGAGCACTCTACCCCTTGAGCCACAGTGCTGCTTCTGGCTTTTTCTGCTTATGTGGTGTTGAGGAATTGGACCCAGGGCTGGCCTCATGCATGCAAGGCAAGCACTCTACCACTGAGCCACCTTCCTAGCCAGCTTTTTTTTTTTTTTAATAGCACATAAAGGAACTTTTTGTGGGCATGAGCAGTGGAGATTTGACTGATAGAAAGTTTATGTCTGCAGTTCTGCTGAATGCTTTTGGCCTCAGAAATAAAGTCAAATTCATTTGGTTTCTGTGAGTTAAATGTGTAGAAATATTTGAATAAATATGAATTGGTGCTGGGTGCTGGAGGCTCATGTCTGTAATCCTAGCTATTCAGGAGGCTGAGATCTGGGCAGGAAACTCCATGAGACTCTTATCTCCAATAAACCACTAGAAAAATGGAAGTGGTGCTGTGGCTCAAGTGGTAGAGCGCTCACCTTGAGCTGAAGAGCTGAGGGATAGCGCCCAAGCCCAGGGTTCAAGCCCCACCACTGACAAATAAATAAAATATATATATACTGGCCACTGCTTCAGAAAATATCTAAGATTTTTTGTCCTTATTTGAGTATTACTGAGAATAAGTTACAGCTATTATGCACGCACACACACACACACACACACACAAGACTTGGAAAAATAGAAATCTGATGGAGTGCTGATTCTAGCTAAGCAAGTTCCTTGGAGGTGATTGCTGGCATGTATTTAGGGAGTGTAGAAATCCATTTCAAATATGTTTTCTGGGTAGGTAACTTAGTTCATTTCTCCTGATT